AATCCAAGAATGTCAGAAATTCCAAGAATCCCAAGAATACAAATATATCCAAAAAATTCAGGAATTTTAAAAATTCCAAGAAATTCAGGAAACCAAGGAATTTAAGAATTTGAAAAAACATGATACTCAAAAATATGTTTTAAATGTCTTGCAAAGAAATAGGTATTTTGCAGTTAAGCTCCGCCCTCTTGGTTCACGGCGAATAAAATAAATCGTCACAATAGAGATCGGGCGGGTGGGCGGGCTTATATTTTGCCTTTTTCTTTGAACATGTGTAAACTTTTTTACAACATGACACTTAAAACATGTTTAAAATGGAAAATTTCTATAAGGAAATATCGATTTCACAATTAGGCTCCGCCCCATAATTGCAAAGTCCATATTTCCTTGCAAAAGTGTACTATTTTAAACATGTTTTAAGTTTCTTGTGAAAAAATGGCCATGTATGTTAAGAAATAAAAGGCAAAATATAAGCCCCGCCCACCCACCCGGTCTCAATTCTGATGATTTTTTTTTTATTCGTTGTAAGCCAAAAGAGCGGAGTTTAACTGCAAAATCCTTATTTCTCCTTATTTATATTTTGCCGTTTTTTCTTAATAGCATTCTTTAAACAACACGATACTCAAAAACATGTTTTTAATTTCTTGCAAAGAAATAAGTATTTTGCAGTTAAGCTCCGCCCTCTTGGTTCACGGCGAATAAAATAAATCATCGCAATCGAGATCGGGTGGGTGGGTGGGTTTATATTTTGGCTTCTTGTTTTAATATGTGTAGACTTTTTTTTACAACATGAAACTTAAAACATGTTTAAAATGGAAAATTTGTAACTATAAGGAAATATCGATTTTGCAATTAGGCTCCGCCCCACAATTGTAAAATCCATATTTCCTTGCAAAAATGTACCATATTAATCATGTTTTAAGTGTCTTATTGTGAAAAGATGGCTATGTATATTAAGAAAAAAACGGCAAAATATAGGTATATAAGTTTTAGCAACTATTAACCTACAGAGATTCAAGAAAAGTTGAAAATAATAAACAAAATGTGCCAAAGAAATCCAAGAAACTTAGGAAATCAAGAAACACAAGAAGCCCAAGAAACCCAAGAAATCCAAAAAATTCTAGAAATAGAAGAAATAAAAAGATGTAAAAAGGTGCAGAGGATATGAAAGGTTCGAGAAATCTGAGATTTTTTAGAATGACAAAAATTCCAGAAATTTGAGAATGTCAAGAATCGCTGTCAATCCCAAAAATTCCAAGAATTTCGAGAATTCAAATACATCAATCCAAAAATAAAAATTTTTCAAGAATTTCAAAATTACTAAAATGACAAAAATCTCAAGAGTCAAGAATAACGATTCAAAGAAATCCAAGAAATCAAAAAATTCAAGAATTCGAAAATTTCTAGGAACTCGAGAAACCCAAGAACTTCAAGAATTCCAGGAATTGCAAGAATCCCAAAAACCTCAAGAATCACAAGAAATTCAAGAATGTCAGGAATTCCAAGAATCCCAAGAATCCAAATATATCCAAAAAATTCAGGAATTTTAAAAATTCCAAAAAAATCACGAAACCAAGGAATTTAAGAATTTGAAAAAACAGGATACTCAAAAATATGTTTTAAGTGTCTTGCAAAGAAATAGGTATTTTGCAGTTAAGCTCCGCCCTCTTGGTTCACGGCGAATAAAATAAATCGTCACAATAGAGATTCTTATATATTTCCTTTTTCTTTGAACATGTGTAGACTTTTTTTACAACATGACACTTAAAACATGTTTAAAATGGAAAATTTCTATAAGGAAATATCGATTTCACAATTAGGCTCCGCCCCATAATTGCAAAGTCCATATTTCCTTGCAAAAGTGTACTATTTTAAACATGTTTTAAGTTTCTTGTGAAAAAACGGCCAGGTATGTTAAGAAAAAAAAAGGCAAAATATAAGCCCCGCCCACCCACCCGGTCTCAATTCTGATGATTTTTTTATTCGTCTTAAGCCAAAAGGGAGGAGTTTAACTGTAAAATCCTTATTTCTCCAGGAGAAATTAAAAACATGTTTTGAGTATCGTGGTATTCAAAGAATACAATATATATTTAGAAAAAATTACAGCGAAAGCCCCATCCATACCTGCCCTGATCTAAATAGTAAAGAAATTTTCATTCGTTGGCAGACCTAGGGGAGGGGCCTAATTGCAAAATAAATATTTCCTTACAAAAATGTACCATTTTAAACGTGTTTTAAGTTTCTAAGAATAAAAATAAATCATCACAATAGAGATCGGGCGGGTGGGTGGGCTTATATTTTGCGTTTTTCTTTGAACATGTGTAGACTTTTTTTACAACATGACACTTAAAACATGTTTAAAATGGAAAATTTGTATAAGGAAATATCGATTTTGCAATTAAGCTCCGCGTCATAATAGCAAAATCCGTATTTCCTTGCAAAAACGGCAAAATATAGGTATATAAGCTTTAGCAACTATTAACCTACAGAGATTCAAGAAAAATTGAAAATAATCAACAAAATGTGCCAAAGAAATCCAAGAAACTTACGAAATCCCAGAATCTCAAGAAACACAAGAAGCCCAAGGAACCTAAGAAATCCAAAAAATTCTAGAAATAGAAGAAATAAAAAGGTGCAGAGGATATGAAAGGTTCAAGAAATCTGAGATTTCCTAGAATGACAAAAATTCCAGAAATTTGAGAATGTCAAGAATCCCTGTCAATCCCAAAAATTCCAAGAATTCAAATACATAAGTAAACCCAAAAATAAAAAATTTTCAAGAATTCCAAAAATACTAAAATCCCAAAAACCTCAAGAATCACAAGAAATTCAAGAATGTCAGAAATTCCATGAATCCAAATATATCCAAAAAATTCAGGAATTTTTAAAATTACAAGAAATTCAAGAAACCAAGAAATTTAAGAATTTGAAAAAACACGATACTCAATAACATGTTTTAAATGTCTTGCAAAGAAATAAGTATTTTGCAGTTAAGCTCCGCCCTCTTGGTTCACGACGAATAAAATAAATCATCACAATAGAGATCGGGTGGGTGGGCGGGCTTATATTTTGCCCCATAATTGCAAAGTCCATATTTCCTTGCAAAAGTGTACTATTTTAAACATGTTTTAAGTTTCTTGTGAAAAAATGGCCATGTATGTTAAGAAAAAAAAGGCAAAATATAAGCCCCGCCCACCCACCCGGTCTCAATTCTGATGATTTTTTTATTCGTCTTAAGCCAAGAGGGCGGAGTTTAACTGCAAAATCCTTACTTCTCCAGGAGAAATTAAAAACATGTTTTGAGTATCGTGCTATTCAAAGAATACAATGTATATTTAGAAAAAATTAAAGCGAAAACCCCATCCATACCTGCCCTAATCTAAATAGTAAAGAAATTTTCATTCATTGGCAGACCTAGGGGAGGAGCCTAATTGCAAAATCCATATTTCCTTACAAAAATGTACCATTTTAAACCTGTTTTAGGTTTCTAAGAATCGAAAAAAAATCATTACAATTGAGATGGGGTGGGTGGGCGGGGTTTATATTTTGTGTTTTATTCTTAAATATCTGGTTGACCGAGCTTCACTCGGCTCGTTTGGTAGTGTTAGATCAGATTAGGACAGATAAATATGCGTATAGTATGCATTTTGAAGTACCAGCGCTACTTAAAAATACACATTAAAAAAGAAATTCCATAAGCAGTCTTTGTTTTAAATACTGATGAGTGAGATGTAGAGATTAAAGAATAGAAAACTGGAATTATTGTTTGACATTTATTAATATCTCATTTGTTACCCAAGTTCTCTCTCTGTCGTTCTTTTTTTTTCCTAGTTCTCTCTCTCGACTCTAGAAAAAGGTCACAACCACATTCTTACTGCCAGAAGAGTTTTGCCTCTGGTGTGGTTAATATACTGAGTTACCGTGCTCTTTTGCGTTATTCCTAATTTCTCAATCTCAACCCTGCTCCCGAAGATGCCATTTACGAAAGTGTGCGAAACGTTGAGCCCAAAAACTCAAATAACACTGTCCCATCTCGGAAAACGATCACACATTGGCTCCAGGACCGTGGAACCTCTGAAATGAATGCTTGACAACATAACTTCAATTCAACGCATTTTCGTGTGCCTTTTATCCGCTCACTGTTTAGTTTTCCGTAAATTTTCTCACCTCAGAAGGTGAATTCTAACGTCCTCTATACAGTGGAGTATGTTTCGGTACGTACAATTGAAGATAAAAAGGTACGTCAAACGTACTGTCAGACTGTCACCCAAACTTCTCTTATAAAACAATCTCGTGTTCGTGTAGTGTCATCTGATGTTGCCTAGCAACAAATATAATTCACTGCCTGAAAATTGCTGAAAATGTATGAAGCTGTAATTTTCAGAAGTTAAAACTATGATGAATCGATTTCTTGACCCAAAAAACCCCCAACCTGTAAATTTCATCGAAATCGTTAGAGCCGTTTTCGAGAAACCCATTATATATATATATAGATATATATATACAAACTTTGCTCGTTTAATAGTATAAGATGTACATAGCATTCTTTGAACAACACGTTACTCAAAAACATGTTTTAAATGTCTTGCCAAGAAATAAGTATTTTGCAGTTAAGCTCCGCCCTCTTGGTTCACGGCGAATAAAATAAATCATCACAATAGAGATAGGGCGGGTGGGTGGGCTTATATTTTGCCTTTCTCTTTGAACATGTGTAGACTTTTTTTACAACATGACACTTAATAGAAAAATCCGTATTTCCTTGCAAAAATGTGCCATTTTAACCATGTTTTAAGTGTCTTATTGTGAAAAGATGGCTATGTAGATTAAGAAAAAAACGGCAAAATATAGGTATATAAGCTTTAGCAACTATTAATCTACAGAGATTCAAAAAAAGTTGAAAATAATAAACAAAATGTGTCTATTATTCCATTTACAGTAAGCGCACATGACGTCATAGGTGACAGAGTGACAGGATGCGCACAAGAATGCGCAGAAGTGAAAAGTTGTAAGTGATAGTTGATTTGGTTATAACCTCAAATGTTGCAATTTCCGGGTGTCTAACCTGCAATTAAACGAAATATATGTGTTTATTGCATATTTTTCATTTTCGTTTTGTACTATTACACATGTAATTTCGTAATATTGCACATTTATGACATAACCTCCCTCCTACGTACAAATTATACATAGATAAGTGCTATATTAATAATACGTGTGATCCCTTTTAAATGGTGCGATAATACCGTAAAACTGATAAAAATAAACAAAAGGACGTCACATTCCGTTATATTGTTCGTTATAGTTGGTATATATACCGCACTTTGTACTGACATTGTTATTATTTAATAACAAGTCATGAAGTTGTCAGTCAGTTTTGCTTTTTTGTGTTTTTACACTGTTATGGTGTGGGTAAATGCTGCAGACAGAATTGTCAGAGTGAGGCTGGAGGTAGGTATTTTTTTTTTTTTAATTTTGGAAATCATTCCATTCAGTTTTTTTATAGTGATCAGTACTGATACAAAATTTCACCCAAAATCGCTTGTTTACTGGTTATTTTTGTAAACAGTAGTGTATTTGAGTTAAATATATGTATTATCAACAAAACATGAAAGCGCTTTTGTTCCTGACACAGTCCAATTGGACTTCAGTCTGTCCAATTAGACAAACATGTTTTTGCTTTGGCTAAAAATACTAATGTAACCTTACTTACTAAATTACGCAGTTACGCTGCAAAAATTGATTGTTAATGCCTATAAATATTCTAGAGTTGTCCAGGCTGCAAGCTCAACAGACTATCAGAAGTGAAAGCATTCGTGTATGAAGATTTCCCCAACTATGAGAACGCGGAATTCAAGAAAATCCACGGAGCTTCGCCAGTTCTCCTATTCCTAAACGAAGCCGACGAAATCGTCGAAAAACACTCCCTGGAACATTTGAGCCGCAAAAAATGCAACGAACTCCTAACAGAGAGAGGCTTCACCACAAGAAAGAACAAAGAATTGTAACAAAACCTGTATCCAAACCAATAAAAACCATACTAAAAAGTTATCCACAATTTTATATTTATACCTCTGTAACAAATTCATATACATACTTCAAGAACTAAACTTTACTCGACTAATATTGATAAAATTAACAATAAAGTATCACTTTCCACAGAAATTTTATTATGTACAAAGATTTGTTTCGAATTATAACAGTCTGGAATGAGAATGATTAACCTGATTTTTGTACTGTGCCGATATAAAAGCCCTACCCTCTTTAAAAGAAAGCCACCATTATGAATATGTTTACGCCAGGATGAGCCAAGCTATGAACATCACCGCCAACCACAAGAAAAGCTTCGACAGGAATTGCTCCTCCATGTGCTGCTGCGTCCCCCTGGGGGCCGGGCTGGGCCTAGCGTCCCCGAAATTGAACGTCGACGTGAAAAACCCGAACGGAAAAGCGCCAATGCCGAACGACATGTGGAAGCCGTTGTCGCCGCCGAAGCCGAAGCCCGGGAACGTCGAGCCCGGCTCGGGCTCCGTGCGCTGGCCCGCGGGCCGCGGGGGCACCTTCTCCCGCGGGTCCTCCTGCTTCGTGCTGCCGCGCCCGTACAACGGGATCACCTTCTCCTTGCTGATCGCCGCCTTGCACACCGGACAGACCTGCCTGTTGGGGCGGGTCTCCAGCCACTGGTGGAGGCACGGCCAGCTGGAAAAACGCGATTGCAACGCCGGCGGGACTAGGGGGGCTCTCACCAGAACAGGTGTCCGCACATGCTGACGACGGCGTCTCGGGCCGTGTCGAGGCAAATGTTGCACTCGAACGTCCGGTCGTCCTTTTTCTCTTCTTCGGTGGCGCCTGCACCGTCCCCGTCGGGGTGCTTCGTGGAATGCTCGGCATCCTCGGTCGTCGCTGGAGGCATCTTAACTGGGCTTTGTTACAATTTCAGTCAATTTTTAGACCATCTAAGAAAGGATAAATGTCAAATATTTGTCAACATGTAGGCACTGACGTGGTGCATTAATTATTTAGCTTCATAACCTTCAACTGGATACTGTTGATTTGTTTGAATTGTTGTGCTCAAGAAATCGATACTGTCATGTACTGTTATTTACGGATTAGTTTGCTGGTTCACTTGTCAGGTGATAACGTTGATGGTACATACAACTGCGAACTATGAAACCACTGAACTGGATCATGTTAACCAATAAAGAATCAAGGGGAGGACGTATTCGTTGGAATGTTCATTGACAGTGTTGCCACAATTAATTAAAAAGCCTCAAACCTAACCTCTCATAATATTATTACCCTTTAATAGTACGCAAATGTCCCATTATTCCGGTTTTTGGGACCAGAGTGACGTAAAGTCACACACAAAACTTGGAAACAAAGAAACACAATTAATTGTTGTAACAATTTAGGTTAACACCGTAGTGTCACCATGGCGGAAGAAATATATCCTCCCCACCCCGAGTGTCACTTACATGTCAAATCAATGAAATTTTAGGTTATGACTTGACTCTGACATGTGTCATTCTATTTTGACACTTCAATGTAGTAAAGCCACAGTAGGTAAAGCTTCACAATTTTGACAAATTAAGTGTACATAAGCCCAAAATTGTCAAAAACGACATCTGTCAACACTGAAAAATGACGTTGCGGATCGTATTTCAGCAATTTCGAGCTTTCTTTTCTGTATAAATGTCACTGTCATAGCAACAAACTGAAAATTTTTAGTAATGTGGACATAATTTTCTCAAAGTTATCAGTTGTGAACTCTTGGATCATTGGTTCAAGAATTAGATTCTTTTTCCATTATACTGAAAATTTTAAGACTTCTCTCCAAGTCTCTTCCTCGTCAAACTATTCAGGTGTTTTTTGGATTTCTTAAAATTTTAAAAGTTCTTGAAATCCAATAAAACTAAGAAATTAAAAAATCTAAGAAACGTAAATAATACTAGAAACTCAAGAAACCTCACAAAGTCACAAGCCAAAGAAATCCAAGAAACTCAGGATATCACAGAATCTCAAGAAACACAAGAAGCCCAAGGAACCTAAGAAATCCAAAAAATTCTAGAAATACAAGAAATAAAAAGATGTCAAAAGGTGCAGAGGATATGAAAGGTTCAAGAAATCTGAGATTTCCTAGAATGACAAAAATTCCAGAAATTCGAGAATGTCAAGAATCTCTGTCAATCCCAAAAATTCCAAGAATTTCGAGAATTCAAATACATAAATCCAAAAATAAAAATTTTTCAAGAATTCCAAAAATACTAAAATCACAAAAATCTCAAGAGTCAAGAATAAGGATTCAAAGAAATCCAAGAAATCCGAAAATTCAAGAATTCGAAAATTTCTAGGAAATCCGAGAAACATAAGAACTTCAAGATTTCCAGGAATTCCAAGAATCCCAAGAACCCAAATATATCCAAAAAATTCAGGAATTTAAAAAATTCCAAGAAATCAAGAAACCAAGGAATTTAAAAATTTCAAAAAATCCAAAAATTCTAAGGATCCTAAGAATTCTAAAATATCCAAAAGACCCAAAAATATCAAGAATTTCAACAATTCCAAGAATCCCAAAAATTCCAAGAACCAAGAATCTCAAGAATTACAAGAAGTCCAAGAATGTCACGAATTTCAAGGATCCCAAGAATCCGATAATCCGAAAAATGTCAAAAATTCCAAGAATTCAAAAAAATCCAAGAAATGCAAGCAATCCAAGAAATCCCAGAACCCAAGTTATCTAAGAATTCCAAAAAAATCTAAAAAATCCAAAAAATTTAAAAATCTAAGAAATCCAAGCAACCTGAAAAGTCTAAGGAACGCCCAGTAATCCTAGAAATTCAAGAAACAGAACAAGCCAACGAAACCCAGATCTCAACAAACCTAAGAAGTCCAGGGAATCTAAGAAACCCAAAAAATTCTAGAAATAAGAGATAATAGAATGTAAAAAGATATGAAAGGCTCAAGAAATCTGAGATTTCTTAGAATTACAAAAATTCCAAAAATTTCGAGAATTCAAAGAAATCGAAAAAATTAAAATACATATTTTAAGAATTTCAAAAATACCAAAATCACAAAAATTTCAAGAATTACCAAGAAATTCAAGAATGCCAGGAATTCCATGAATCCCAAGAATCTAAAAAATTCCAAGAAATCAAAAAATTCAAGCAACCCAAGAATTCCAAGAAATGCAAGCAATCCAAGAATCTCAAGAATTCCAAATATCCTAAAAATTCTAAGAAATCAGAGAAACCCAAGAGCCTCAGGAATTCCAGGAATCCCAACAATCCCAAAAATCTCAGGAATCACAAGAAATCCAAGAATGTCAGGAATTCCAAGAATCCCAAGAATCCAAATTTATCCAAGAAATCTAAAAAATCAGGAATTTTAAAAAGTCCAAGAAATCCAAGAAATGTAAGCAATCCAAGAATTCCAAAGATCCCTAAGAATCCAATAGACTCAAAAATTTCAACACTTTCAAGAATTCCAAAAATTTCAAGAACCCAAGAATCTCAAGAATCAGAAGAAATCAAAGAATGTCACGGATTTCAAGAATCCCAAGAATCCAACAATCGGAAAAATATAAAAAAATCCAGAATTCCAAGACTTCAAACAAATTCAAAAAATGAAAGAAAAGAATTCCAAAAATACCAAAATCACAAAAATCTCAAGAACCACAAGAAATTCAAGAATGGCAGGAATTCCAAGAATCGCAAAAACCTAAAAAAATCCAAGGATCCTAAGGATTCAAAAGAAATCCAAGAAATCCAAAAATTCAAGAATTCCAAATATTCTAAGAATTCTAAGAAATCTGATAAACCCAACAACCTCAATAATTCCAGGAATCCCAAGAATCCCAAAAATCTCAGGAATTCCAAGAAATCCAAAAATCAGGAATTTTAAAATGTCAAAGAGATTCAAGAAACCCAAGAGATCTAAGAATTCCAAAAAATCAAAGAAATCCAATGAATACAAGTAATCCAATAATTCCAAAAAGTCCAATAGACTCAAGAATTTCTACAATTTCAAGAATTCCAAAAATTCCAAGAAGCCAAGAATCTAAAGAATCAGAAGAAATGCAAGAATGTCACGAATTCCAAGAATCCTAAGAATCCAACAATCTGAAAAATATAAAAAAAATCCAAGAATTTAAAGAAATCCGAAAAATAAAAAATTTCAAGAATTTCAAAAATACCAAAATCCCAAAAATCTCAAGAATCACAAGAAATCCAGGGATCCCAAGAATCTAAAATATTCCAAGAATCCTATACGGATTAAAAAAAATTCAGAAATTCAAGAATTCGAAAATTTCAAGAAATCCAAGGAAATGCCAGAAAGCCAAGCAATTCAAGAATCTCAAGAATTTCAAATATTCCAAAAATTCCAAAAAATCCAAGAAATGCAAGCAATCCAAAAATTCCAAGGAACCTAAGAATTCCAGAAAATTTAAGAGACCCAAGAATATCAAGAATTTTAACAATTCCAAAAATTCCAAAACCTAGGAATCTCAAGAATCACAAGAATCCAACAATCCGAAAAATATAAAAAAATTCCAGAATTCCAAGAATTCAAACAAATCCAAAAAATAAAAAAAAAGAAATCCAAAAATACCAAAATCACAAAAATCTCAAGAACTACAAGAAATCCAAGAACGACAGGAATTCCAAGAATCGCAAGAATCTAAAAAAATCAAAGGATCCTAAGGATTCAAAAGAAATCGAAAAATTCAAGAATTCCAAAATTCCAAGAAATCCAAGCAACCCAAGAAATCTAAGAATTCCAAGAAATGCAAGGAAAACAAGGAATCCAAAAGTCTCAAGAATCCCAAATATCCTAAGAATTCTAAGAAATCTGATAAACCCAACAACCTCAATAATTCCAGGAATCCCAAGAATCCCAAAAATCTCAAGAATCACAAGAAATCCAAGAATGTCAGGCATTCCAAGAATCTCAAGAATCCCAATATATCCAAGAAATTCAAAAAATTCAGAACTTTTAAAAACTCTAGGAAATTCAAGAAACCCAAGAAATTTAAGAATTCCAAAAAATCCAAGAAATCCAAGAATTGCGAGTAATCCAAGAATTCCAAGGATCCTAAGAATTCCAAAAAGTCCACTAGACTCAAGAATTTCAACAATTTCAAGAATTCCAAAAATTTCAAGAAGCCAAAAAGCCAAGAATCTCAAGAATCTGAAGAAATCCAAGAATGTCACGAATTCCAAGAATCCCAACAAACCGAAAAATATCGAAAAATCCAAGAATTCAAAGACATCCGAAAAATAAAAAATTTCAAGAATTTCAAAAATACCAAAGTCACAAAAATCTCAAGAATCACAAGAAATCCAAGAATCGCAGGAATTCCAAGAATCCCAGGAATCTAAAATATTCCAAGAATCCCATGAATATTAAAAAAATAAAAAAGTCAAGAATTCGAAAATTTCAAGAAATCTAAGCAACCTAGGAAATCTAAGAATTCCAGGAAATGCCAGAAAGCCAAGCAATTCAAGAATCTCAAGAATTCCAAATATCGTAAAAATTCTACGAATCCAAATATACCCAAGAGATTCAAAAAACCAGAAATTTTAAAAGAAAATCTAAGAGACTCAAGAATTTCAACAATTCCAAAAATTCCAACACCTAGGAATCTCAAGAATCACAAGAATCCAACAATCCGAAAAATATAAAAAATTCTAGAATTCCAAGAATTCAAAGAAATCCAAAAAATAAAAGAAAAGAACTCCAAAAATACCAAAATTACAATCGCAAGAATCTAAAAAAATCCAAGGATCCTAAGGATTCAAAAGAAATCCAAAAATTCAAGAATTCAAGAATTCCAAAATTCCAAGAAATCCAAGCAACCCAAGAAATCTAGGAATTCCAAGAAACGCAAGGAAAACAAGGAATCCAAAAGTCTCAAGAATTCCAAATATCCTAAGAATTCTAAGAAATCTGAAAAACCCAACAACCTCAAGAATTCCAGGAATCCCAAGAATCCCAAAAATCTCAAGAATCGCAAGAAATCCAAGAATGTCAGGAATTCCAAGAATCTCAAGAATCCAAATATATCCAAGAAATCCAAAAAATTCGGAGATTTTAAAAACTCCAAGAAATTCAAAGAATCCAAGAAATCTAAGAATTCCAAAAAATCAAAGAAATCCAATAAATGCAAGCAATCCAAGAATTCCAAGGATCCTAAGAATTACAAAAAATTCAAGAGACCCAAGATTATCAAGAATTTCAACAATTCCAAGAATCCCAAAAATTCCAAGAACCCAAGAATATCAAGAATCAGAAGAATTCCAAGAATGTCAAGAGTTCCAGGAATTCCAAGAATCCAACAATCCGAAAAATATTAAAAATTCCGAGAATTCCAAGAGTTCAAAGAAATCCAAAAAAAAAAAAAGAATGCCAAAAATAGCAAAATCACAAGAATCTCAAGAACCACAAGAAATCCAAAAATGGCAGGAAGTTCGAGAATCGCAAAAATCTAAAAAAATCCAAGGATCCTAAGGGTTCAAAAGAAATCTAAAAATTCAAGAATTCTAAAATTCCAAGAAATCTAAGAATTCCTAGAAATGCAAGAAAGGCAAGCAATCCAGGGATCTCAAGAATTCCATAGATCCTAAAAATTCTAAAAACTTCCAGAAATCCAAGATACTCAAGAATTCCAGGAATCTCAAAAACCCCAAGAACCACAAGAAATCCAAGAATACCAAGAATCCAAAAAATAAGGGACTTTGAAAATTCCAAGAAATTCAAGAAACTCAAGGAATCTAAGAATTCCAAAAAATCCAAGACCCAAGAATATCAAGAATCTCAAGAATCAGAAAAAATCCAAAAATGTCACGAATTCCAAGAATCCCAATAATCCAACAATCCGAAAAATATCAAAAATTCCAAGAATTCAAAGAAATCAAAAAAAAATTCAAGAATTCCAAAAATACGAAAATCACAAAAAACCTCACGAATCACAAGAAATCAAAGAATGGCAGGAATTAGAAGAATCTCAAGAATGTAAAAAAATCCAAGAATCCAAAGGATTCAAAAGAAATCCAAAAATTCCAAAATTCCAAGAAAATCCAAGCAACCCAAAAAATCTGAGAATTCCAAGAAATGCAAAAATTCCAAATATCCCAAAAATTCAAAGAAATTCGAGAAACCCAAAAACCTCAAGAATTCCAGGAATCTCAAAAACCCAAAAATTTTCCAAAATCATAAGAAATCCAAAAATTTCAGAAATTCCAAGAATCTCAAGAATTTCAGGAATCTCAAAAACCCAAAAATTTTCCAGAATCATAAGAAATCCAAAAATTTCAGGAATTCCAAGAATCTCAAGATTCCAGAAATATCCAAGACACCCAAAAATATCAAGAATTTCGACAATTCCAAGAATTCGAAAAATTTCAAGAATCTAAGAATCTCAAGAATCAAGAGAAATCCAAGAATGTCACGAATTCCAAGAATCCAACAATCCGAAAAATATCAAAAATTTCGAGAATTCAAAGAAATGCAAACAATAATCCCAGAATTCAAAGAAATTCAAGAAATGTATAAAATCCAAGAATTCCAAACAATCCAAGAACCCAAGAATTTCAAAAAAAAATCTAAAAAATCCAACCAGTTAAAAAATCTACGGAATTCAAGCAACTTGAAAAGTTTAAGAGACGTCAGTAATGCTAGAAACTCAAAAAATTCTAGAAATAGAAGAGATGGAAAAGATGTTGGGGTTGCATGGTGATGCAATCGGAGTAAAAAAAAATCAAAAGAATTCAACAAATCCAAAGAAAAAACCCAAAAATTCAAGAGAGTATTTTTTTTTACAGGTTGGCGACATATTTAAACTTGTCAATTCCGCGGCTGACATCGTCTCATTGGTCTTTAGACGCGCTCATGTCAAAATTGGCAGTTGTAAAAATACAGTCGGGGTCAGAAAATCTTGGACGTCATTTTTGTCTTTTCGAAAATTTCAGCACCATGTCAGTTCACAGTTGTCAATTTTGACGTGAAGAGAAGATGGTGCGCAAAAATTCAATTTGACAATCAGGTATGTCATAAAGTCAAGGACAACCTTACAAAAATTACTTGTCAATTTGATAAATAGCCAAAGGTAATGAATAATTAATTAGTTTCTTTTAATAAAATTTCACACATCTTGTTTTTCTTTGCGACCAACTTACACTAGACAAAAATTAACGTAAAACTCGGTTTATCGAGTCGAAGTAGTTCCTTGCTGTATGACGCTATACAAATTTCCATCCCGATGCTGCCAACATACCCACCCAAAAACACCAACACGTCACATAACTGGATCTCGAACGTCAGAATTCAGAAAGTCAAATTCTCCAGTAACCTTTGGGTGAAGGCGGTGACCTTGAAGTGATAAAAATGCATAATTATGGAAAATTGTGGTCTGTTTTTGCATTCCTCATATCCATTGACGTGCCTATGGCGCCATTGCGTCCTAAAAACGCATTAAATTGATAATTTAACGACGAAATTGGGACCGTTTTGGGCTTTAGGTTTTTGCACCCACATACCACTTGATCCAAAATATTCAAAAGGAGTTTATTTGTTATTAATCCTGTTGTTTATAATTTGACCAAAAATTTTTTTATTTGTCTGTGCATAATTTATCATCGTAACCTCGAAAAACACTATTGATGCAGCATTATGAATACACCCGGTAGCGAATATAATCATAAAAGTCAATGAAAAAAAAAAAACAATAACATGTCTATTCAATTTTATTAAAATCAGCTAACTAACCTTAAATTACCATTAATTAAAGTACTTGGAAAAGTTCTGTTTGTCGAAATTCAGCGACCCCAACTTCCGCAGTTTCTTCAACAAATCGGGCCTAGTAACCAGCAGTCTCTTTAAAGACTGCAAAATCAGATTCTCCGGGAAAAACGGCCGTATGGGCATATCCTCCAACGAATAAACATAAACGTTCCCGCCCATGTCCCCCACCATCAAACATCGCCCATTTGTCGTAAACCTGCACACGGTATTAAACACCCCCTTTGGAGACTTCTGCACCGACTGCGACTGGTACATTTTCCTTTGTAAATCCCAGACCAGAATGTCGGTCCCACGGATGGTGGCAATCACCGTGGGGTTCTCGGGGCTCCAGTCCACGTCCAGGGCCGGCAATAACGACCGTGTGGTCGTCACCAGAGGCTCTGAAATGCCTGGAAAGGTGGATTAAAATGAACCTGGAGGACTCTCACCAGTACCATCGACCCAGAGCCGCGCTCTGAAGTCGTCTCCGCAGGTGAGGTAGAGCTTGTTGGCGAAGGGCGAGAAGCGGATGGTGTGGATGGCGCCGTCGTGGGCTTTGAACAGGTCCATGTGCTCGTTGTAGTAGTTGGTGGAGCAGCGGTGGACCACTCCTTCGTCGGTGCCCACGAAGTAGGTGGAGGGGTCGGTGGGGTGGAGGGCTAAGCATCTGGCTTGGTCGAAGCCGGTGATGGAGATGTCTTTGCCTTCGCATTTTTTTAGGTATTTGATGCCTTTGAGCTTGCCTTCTGCGGCGGCGGTTACCATGATTTGGGTGCGCTTGAGGTACTCGGCGCTGGTGATTTGGTACCTAGAAGAATGGGGTGATTATGGGGATGGCGCAGTCCAGCGACAAATTTCGCAGTCACTCAAATTGAAAAATCCAATAACTCAAAAAAAAAATCTAAAAATAGAACATTGAATAAGTGAAAAAACCCAAAATTCTAAAAGTCGAGAAATTAAAATTGGAACGTCGAAAATCGAGAATTCAATAAAACTAAAAATCAATAAACCGAAAAATGGAATATTCGAAAAAACGAAAAATCAAAATAGGAGTACTAAAAATTCGAAAAATCGAAAACCGAGAATCGAAAAATTGAAAATTCGAAAAATCGAAAATTGAGAAATCAAGAAATTGAAAATCGAGAAATCAAGAATCAAAAAATGGAGAAACTGAGAAATTGAAAAATTGAGAAATTAAGAATTCGAAAAATCTAAAAATCAAAACATTAAAAATTAAAACAGACAATCGAAAAATGGAAAACTCGAAAAATCAAAATACTATGTCAAATTCGAATAATCGCACAAAAGAAAAACCAAAAATTGAAAATTAGAAAAATCCAAGAAATAAAAAATCTAAATATCGAAAAATCGAGAACCAAAAAAAAGGAAATCGAGAAATAGAGAATTTTAAAAATCGAGAAACATAAAAATTCTAAAAATCGAAAATTGAGAATGGAATTCAAATTCGAGAATTTAAAAAATCAAAACACCGAAAAATTAAAAAATTGAAAATTCGAAAACTCGGAAAAGAAAAGAATTCAAGAATTTAAAAATCGTTAAAAAATCAAAAATAAGGAATTCGAAAAATTAAAAAATTTGAAAATTCTAATGTTTCGAATTTTCAAATTTTTTAATTTTTCGAATTCCTTATTTTTGATTTTTTAACGATTTTTCAATTCTTGAATTCGTTCCTTTTCCGAAAAATTTCGAAAAATCGGAACCTCCAGAATTGAGAATTCGAAAAATCGAGAATCGATGAATATAAAAATCAAAACATAAAAAATAAGAAAATTGAAAAATGGAAAATCTAAAAATCAAAATATTTCAAATTCTAAAAATCGAAAACTGAGAATCGAATTGAAAATCGACAATTCAAAAAGTGGAGGAATTCAAGAATTGAAAAATCTTTAAGAAATCAACAATTGGGAATTCGGAAAATCGAAAATCGAGAAATTTAGGAACTCAAACTCGAAAAATCGTAAACAAAAAAAAGGAAAACTCGAAAATTCGGAAAATCTAAAAATTGAAAATTCGAGAAATCGAGAATCGGGAATTCGAAAAATCGAGATTCGAGAAATTTAGAATTGGAAAAACTGAGAATCGAGAAATTGAGAATTGGGAAAATCGAGAAATATAAAGATCAAAACATTAAATAATTGGAAAAATGAAGAATCTGCAAATCAAAATATTTCAAATTCTAAAAATCTAAAATTGGGAATCGAATTGAAAAGCGAGAATTCAAAAAATCAGAACACTGAAAAATCGAAAAATCGAGAACTAAGAAATCGAAAACTAAATGGAAGAATTCAAGAATTGATAAATTGTTAAAACATCAAAAATTGCGAATTGGAAAATTTTTTAAACAAAATATTAAAAAGTCGAAACCTCGAAACTTGAGAAATTTAGGAATCGAAAATCAAAATTGAGAACTCTAAATCGAGAAATCGACAAATCAATCAATAAATCGAAAATCCGAGAAATTAAGAATTCCAATTCAAATCCAACTACAAAAAATTGAGAAGTTGAAAAATTGAGGAATCTAGAAATCGAGGAATTAAGAAATCGAAGCATCGAGCAAGAAAAAATTAAAAAACCGAAAAATCTAAAATCGAGAAATCTAAAAATCAACAGCCAAAAAAGGGGGAAATTGAGAAATTCGGAATTCGAGACATTGAAAATTCGAAAATTCTAAACAATTTTAAATCAAAATATGTTTAAAAAAATCGAAGAATAAAAACATTTCAAATTGGAAAAATCGAAAATTGAGAATTGGAAAATCGGGAATTCGTAAATTCGGAAGACCGAAAAAGCGAGAATTGAGAATTCCAAACCTCGAAAAGGAAAAACTGAGAATTGGAAGAATCTAAAAATCAAAACATTGAAAATTCGAAAAATCGAAATTCGAGAAATTGGGAAATTGAAAATCGAAAAATGAAATCACCAAAAAAATGAAAAATTTGGAATTCGAAAAATCGAAATACTGAAGAATAAGAAAAACCTAAAAGTCAAAACATCTTAAATTCTAAAAATCGAAAATTGAGAATCGAGAAATTGAGAAATCAAGAAATTGAAAATCGAGAAATGGAAACACGGAAAACCAAAAATTGAAAATTCAAAAAATCAGAAATCAAGATTTCAAAACTCAAAAAACAAACTCGAATAATCGCACAAAAGAAAAACCGAAAATTGAAAATTAGAAAAATCCGAGAAAGAAAAAATCTACATCTTACAAATCGAAAATCGAGAATTTGAAGAGTGGAGAAATTGAAATACCGAAAAATCGGAAACCAAAAAAACGAAAAATCAAAAAATTTGAGAATTCGAAACACCGAATATCGAGAATCCGAAAAATCGGGAATCGAGAACTAAGAAATCGAAAAATTGAAAATTTGAAAACTTAGAAAATTGAAGAACTAAAAAATTGGGAATTCTAAAAATCTAAAACTGAAAATATTAAAAATTCCAAGAAATTCAAGAAACCTACGGAATCCAAGAATTCCAAAAAATCCAAGAATTCCAAGGATCCTAAGAGTTCCAAAAAATCAAAGAGACCCAAGAATATCAAGAATTTCCAAGAACGCCAAAAATTCCAAGAATCCAACAATCAGAAAAATATAAAAAATTCCAAGAAATCTAGCAAATCTAAGAATTCCAAGAAATTCAAGAATCCAAGATGTCTAAGAATTCCAAAAAATCTAAAAAACCCAAGAAATTCAAGAAACTCAACATGTCAAAGAAACCCAGAATCTTAAGAAACTCAAGAAGCCCAGAGAATCTAAGAAACCCAAAACATTATAGAAATAGAAGAGACAAAAATTGTAAAAAGATGCCGAAAAAATTTGAGATTTCCTAGTATTACAAAAATTCCAGAAATGCAAGAAATATTCCAACAATCCCAAAAATTCCAAGAATTTCGAGAATTCAAACAAATCCAAAAAATGCCAAAATCACAAAAATCTCAAGAATCACAAGAAATCCTACAATGGTAGGAATTCCAAGAATCCCAAGAATCTAAAAAAATCCAAGAGCCCTAAGGATTCAAATAAATTCCAGAAATTCCAGAATTCCGAAAAATCGAAGAAAGCAATCCAAGAATCTCAAGAATTCCAAGTATCCTAAAAATTCTAAGAAATCGGAGAAACCCAAGAACCTCAAGAATTCCAAGAACCTCAAGAATCCCAAAAATCTCAAGGATCACAAGAAATTCAAGAATGTCAGGAATTCCAAGAACCTCAAGAATCCCAATATATCCAAACAATCAGGAATTTAAGAAATTCCAAGAAATTTAAAAAACCCAAGGAATGTAAAAATGCTAAAAATCCAAGAGATCGAAGAAATGCAAGTAATCCAAGAATTCCAAGGATCCTATGAATTCAAAAAAATCCAAGAGACCCAAGAATATCAAGAATTTCGTCAACTCCAAAAATGTCACGAATCCCAAGAATCCAACAACCCGAAAAATATCAAAAACTCCAAGAATTCTAAAAATACCAAAATTTTAGAATTCGAAACATTGAATTTCGAAAAATCCGAATATCGAAAGTTGAGAATTCGAAAAATCGAGAATCGAGAATTAAGAACTCAAAAATTGAAAAATTGTTAAAAATCAATAATTGGGAATACGAAAAATTTAAAAATGAATATATTAAAAATTCGAAAAAACGAAGATTGAGAAATTTAGGAATTGAAAATAGAAAAATCGTAAACCTAAAATAAATGAAAAATCTAAAAATAAAAATTTGAGAAATTTAATAGAAAATTCGACAAATCAAACAATCAATAAATTGAAAGCTCGAAAATTCGAGAAGTCAATAATTCGAAAAATCAAAAAATTTGAGAATTCGAAACATTGAATTTTGAAAAATTGGAAAATCGAGAAATCAAAAAATCGAAATACAAAAAATTGATAAGTTGAAAAATTGAGAAATCTAGAAATTGGGAAATTCAGAAATTGGAAATTAAGAAATCCAAACATCGAGAAAGGAAAAATTAAAAAAACTGAAAAATCGAAAAATCAATAACCAAAAAAGGGGGAAATTGAGAAATTTTGAGAAGTCGAGACATTGAAAATTCGAAAAATCTAAAAAGTTTTATATCAAAATATTAAAAAATCAAAAAATAAAAACATTTTAAATTGGAAAAATCGAAAATTGAGAATTGGAAAATCGAGAATTCGTAAATTCGGAAGACCGAAAAAGCGAAAATTGAGAATTCGAAACATCGAAAAAAGGATAAATTGAGAATTGGAAGACTCTAAAAATTAAAATATTGAAAATTCGAAAAATCGAAATTCGAGAAATTGAGAAATTGAAAATCGAAAAATCGAAACATCAAAATAAAAAGAATAAATTGAGAATTCAAAAAATCGAAAACTGAAGATTCGAAAAAGTGGAAAATGAAAAATCTAAAAATTAAAACATTTCAATTCTAAAATCGAAAATTGAGAATCAATTGAAAATCGGGAATTCAAAAAATCAGAACGCCCAAAAATCGAGAACTAAGAAACTGAAAAATTGAAAATTTGAAAAATCGTTAAAAAATTAAAAATTGGGAATTCGAAAAATCTAAAAATGAAAATATTAAAAATCCGAAAATCAAGAAATTTAGGATTTGAAAATCCGAAAAATTGTAAACTCAAGAAAAAGAAAAATCGAAAATTCTAAAAATATAAAAAGTCAATCCAAACAAGCAATAAATTGAAAATTCGAAAAATCTAAAATCCGAGAAATTGAGAGAGAATTGGACAAATCAAAAAATTTGAGAATTCGAAGGAATGAATTTCGAAAAATCGAGAAGTTGAAAAATTGAGGAATCTAGAAATTGAGAAATCAAAAAATCAAAAAATTTGAAAATTCAAAATATTAAATTTCGAAAAATCGAAATTCGAAAAATCGAAATTCGAAAAATGAGAACATTTCAAATTGGAAAAATCGGAAATTGAGATTTAAAAAATCGAGAATTCGAAAAATCGGAACACCGAAAGAGCGAGAACTAAGAAAATATATTGGGAAATCGAGAAATTGAAAAATCGAAACATTTTTCCATGAAAACACAAATCGAAAATTGAGAATTGGAAAATCGAGAATTCGAAAAATTGGAACGAAAAAGCAAACACTGAGAATTCGAAAAATAGAAAAAACGAAAACTTGAAAATTCGAAAAATTGAAAAATGGACAAACTGGGAAATTGGAAAATCAAGATATCGTAGAACTGAGAAATCGAAACATTAAAAAAGAAAAAATTTTAAAATTCGCGAAATTGTGAAATCAAAAAAACTGAAAAATCGAAAAATTAAAAAAAGAAAAAAGTTCGAAAAATTGAAAATAAAACAATCGAAAAAAATGAGAAATAAAGAATCGAACAATCGAAAAAACGAAAAAGTGGGAATTCGAAAAAATAAATTGAGAATTCGAAGGAATAAATTTCGAAAAATCGAGAAGTTGAAAAATTGAGGAATCTAGAAATTGGGAAATTGAGAAATTGGAAAGTGAGAAATCAAAAAATCAGAAAGGGAAAAATAAAAAATGGAAAAATCGAGAAATCTAAAAATCAAGGACCAAAAAAATGGGTAAACTCAAAAATTGGGAAATTGCAAAATAAAAATTCTAAAAATCAAAATATTTCTAATTCGAAAAACTGAAAATTGAGAATCGAATTGAAAATCGAGAATTCAAAAAATCAGAACACCGAAAAAACTAAGAAATCGAAAAATTGAAATTTTAAAAATTGGAAAATGGAAGAATTCAAGAATTGAAAAATCGTTAAAAAATTAAGAAAAATTTTAAAATGAAAATATTAAAAATTCGAAAAATCGAGAAATTTAAGAACAGATAATTGAAAAAAATCGTAAACCCAAAAAACTAAAAAATCGAAAATTCGACAAATCAATTAATTCATTGAAAATTTGAAAAATCCGAGAAATTGAGAATTCGAAAAAAAATTGAGAATTCGAAGGAATAAATTTCGAAAAATCGAGAAGTTGAAAAATTGAGGAATCTAGAAATTGGGAAATTGAGAAGTTGGAAATTGAGAAATAAAAAATCAGAAAGGCAAAAATAAAAAATGAAAATATCGAGAAATCTAAAAATCATGGGCCAAAAAAATGGGGAAACTGAAAAATTGGGAAATCGAGACATTGATAATTCGAAAAATCGAAAAATTGTAAAATCAAAACGTTCAAAAATCGAAGAATGAAGATTTCATATTTGAGAAATCGAAAATTGGGAATTGGAAAATCAAGAATTCGAAAAATCGGAACCTGGAAAAAGCGTGACCTGAGAATTCGAAAAATCGAAAAAACGAAGACTTGAGAATTCGAAAAATCTAAAGAAGAATCAAATAGAAATTCGGAAAATTGAGAAATTGAAAATCTAATAATCAAAAATTGAAAAATTTAATCCAGAATTCGAAAAATCAAAAAATTTGAGAATTCGAAATATCGATCGAGATACAAAAAATTGAGAAGTTGAAAAATAGAGGAATCTAGAAATTGGGAAATAGAGAAATTGGAAATTGAAAAATCAAAAAATCAAGAGCCAAAAAAAGTTTTTAAATCAAAACATTAAAAAATCGAAAAATGAAAACATTTCAAATTGGAAAAATCGGAAATTGAGAATTAGAAAATCGAGAATTCGAAAAATCGGAACACAATGAAAGAGCGAAAACTGAAAATTCGAAAAATTGAAGAATTGAGAATTCGTGAAATCTAAGAATTGAAAAATTCATAAATTTAATCGAGAATTTGACAAATCAAACAATCAATGAATTGAAAATTCGGGAAGTCGAAAATTCGGAACATTGCATTTCGAAAAATCGGAACATCAAGAATTGAGAATTCGAAAAATCGAAATACAAAAAAAAAGATGAAAAATTGGGAAATCTAGAAATTGGGAAATCGAGACATTGGAAATTGAGAAATCCAAAAATCGAGAAACAAAAAATTAAAAAATTGAAAACTTGAAAATCCAGAAATCTAAAAATTGACAGCCAAAAACTGGGGAAATTGAGAAATCGAGACATTGAAAATTCGAAAAATTGAAAATTGAGAAATGGAAAATCGAGAATTCGACAAATCGAACAATCAATGAATTGAAATTTCGGGAAGTCGAGAATTCAAAACATTAAAAAATTTGACAATTCGGAACATTGCATTTCGAAAAATCGGAACATCGAGAATTGAGAATTCGAAAAATCGAAATACAAAAAAAAGATGAAAAATTGGCAAATCGAGATATTGGAAATTGAGAAATCCAAAAATCGAGAAAGAAAAAATTAAAAAATTGAAAACTTGAAAATCCAGAAATCTAAAAATTGAGAGCCAAAAAATGGAGAAATTAAGAAATCGAGACATTAAAAATTCGAAAAATCGAAAATTGAGAATTGGAAAATCGAGAATTTGAAAAATCGGAACAACGAAAAAGCAGGAACTGAGAATTCGAAAAAACGAAAATTTGAGAATTCGAAAAATTTAAAAGACAAAATATTGAAAATTCGAGAAATTGGGAAATTGAAAATCGAAAAACTGAAACATCGAAAAAATTAAAAATCGAAAAATGGAAAAATTAAAAAAAGAAAAATTCGAAAAATTGAAAATACGAACAATCGAAAAAATAAGAAACAAAGAATCGACCAATCGAAAAAACGAAAAATTCAAAATTCAAAAAACGAAAAAGTGAAAATTCTAAACGCAAAAAATTGAAAATTTGAAAAATGACACACCGAAAAACTGAAAATTCTAAAACAAAATAAAAAGCATATACCTACACACCCGCCCATCGCCGAAACTGGCCATCAGATCTTCCTCGTCGCCCTGTTTGAACCACAGAATATTCCATACGGGTTCAAAAAAAGTAGTATCTTCGCGAATAACGTTAATCTCCGGGCTGGAAATATCGAGGATTTTGAGATGCCCATTATAAAACCCAATCGCCAGCAAATTCGGATTGACATTCGAGAACGCAATCGACGTCACCGGGACCACAAAATCGTACTGTCGCTCCGGCTGACGCGGATTCTTGATATTCCAAATCATCACCATCCCCACACACTGCCGATCATTATAAAAATACTTCCCGTACGCCACTGCCACTATATCCTCGTTGAAAGAGTTCAAAGCCACCGCAGTCACGCATTTACCCTCCGTGTTGTCATTGGCGTACGTCCACAAAAGGCGCAACTTGTACTTGTACTCTATGTCTTCGCGAAACACATCTGGGTCGGACAAACCTTTGAACCTTTTCTGTTCTTCGTTGTAACAATTGTTGCCCAGGATTCTCTCGATGACTATTAAGGCGTCCCGAAACGCCCGACTCTTCACGATTTTGTTCAACTGCTTGTCCTCCGTCGACATCCTGTAGCTCTCCATCGACGATTCTTCGTTTAGCTTGTGGTCCTGCATGCCGAAATCCAGTTTTTCCTCTTCACTGAAGGACACGTCGCTTCTTTCTTCGTCCGAACTAGGCACCTCCACGGTCTGGAACGTGTCGTACATCTCCCATCCAGAAACATACGTCCCTGTGTTCCTGGACCTCTTCTTCGTGGTTTCGGTATCTCGCGCTTTCCTCAACACCTCCACCGTCTGCACCCCCACAGTCAAGACCTTCCGGTTGCGCCCTTTCCCCTTCGTCAAGTACTCGTAGTCCCTGTTGTCCTCCTCCACCGCCTCCGCCTGCTCGCTGTCCTTGGACACGCTACAACTCGGCAAATCCAGCAGAAAAAACGTGTCCGTCTCCTTCAGGACCAAGCTGATGTGGTCCGGAATCGCCGGTTCGTGGAAGGCTTCGGCCTCCTCCACGTCGACGCTCGTGTCGTCCGAGTACGACACGACGCTGCCGAAGGCCGGGATGACGATGTCGTCGCCGAAGTACGCCGAGGTGACGATGCTGCGGTGGGTGAAGGCGGCGGATTCCACTTCCTGTTTTTGGAGAAGGAGGTTGGTCTGGAATTTCTGGGAGTCCACGCGCCCGAGGGAGGAGTGGTGGGGTTGGAGCATGAAGCTTTGGTCTTTGGTGAGGTTGTCGAGGATGCTGATTTGGCGCTCGCGGCCGCCTTCGAACAGGTAGGGGTTGAGCGGCATGGGGGTGACGTCTTTTCCGTCGACGGTTATGATGACTTGTCTGGGGGGCGGGACGGATTTTTGTTTGGGGGCGTCTCTGGGGCGGAGGGACTTGCGGATGATTGGGGGGCCTTCGTAGGAAACGACGGATTTGGTCGCGGAGCGCTTGGAATGCTCGAGACTGGACATTTTGGGGCGGGGAAAAGGTTTTTGACAGGGAGTGTCGGGTTTGACAGGGTTGGTTGATCGGCAATTTTTTATTCAAAACCAACAAATAAGCGGCTAAAAAAATTCAGTAAAATAGTGGAAAAAAGAAAAAAAAAGGTGGAAAAAATCAAACCAAAAAATAAAATCCAAAAACTTTAAAATCAAAAATCGATAAATTCAGAAATCGAAACTCAAAAAATCGAGAAATAGACAAAACTGAAAAATCAAGATACACATTATAAATTCGAAAAAACGAAATCGAAAATTGATAATGGAAAAACCGAAAAATCGAAACATTAAAAATTCGAAAAATTGATAATAAAAAAAAGTGGGAAATCGAGAAATATAAAAATCAAAACATTGGAAATGCTAAAACTCGAAAATTGAGAATCGAATTGAACACCGAAAATCGAAAAATGGAGAACCAAGATATCGAAAAATTGAAAATTCGAAAAACCGAAAAACTAAAAAATTTTAGAATTCGAAAAATCAAAATTAAGAAAATCGAGAAGTTGAAAAATTGAGAAAGAAAAAATAAAAAAATTGAAAAATCGAAAAGTCGAAATTCAGAATTAGAAAAAACGACAATTGAGAAATCCAAAAAGCAAGAGCCAAAAGGGGCGAAATTGAGAAATTAGGAAAAATTTTAAAATCAAATCGTTAAAAATCGAAAATTGGGAATTGGAACATCAAGAATTCAAAAATCGGAACACCGAAAAAGCGAGAACTGAGAATTTGACAAATCTAAAAACGAATCGAAACATTTTTTAATCAAAACATTAAAAAAATTGAAAAATGAAAACGTTTTTCCATCCTCCACTCTGTCAATAATAAAAAATTTCAAATTGAAAAAAAAGGGGAAAATTCAAAAATTAAGAATTATAATTATAAAAATGACTATTAAAAATTGGAAAAATCGAAAAACCAAAAAATTTGATAATTCGAAAAATAGAACAATAAATAAATTGAAAATTCGAAAAATCAAAAAATTTGAGAATTCGAAACATTGAATTTCGAAAAATTGGAGCATCGAGAACTGAGAATTCGAAAAATCGAGAAGTTGAAAAATTGAGAAATCGAGAAAGAAAAACTAAATAAATTGAAAAATCGAAAAGTCGAAATTCAGAATTTGAAAAAAACAAAAATTTCGAAATCGAAAAATCAAGAGCCAAAACGGGGGAAATTGAGAAATCGAGACACTGAGAATTCGAAAAATCGAAACATTTTTAAATCAAAATATTAAAGTCGAAAAATGAAAACATTTTTCCATCCTCCACTCTGTGACTTTCATTTAAAAAATAAATAAAAAATTTCAAATTGGAAAAATCGAGAAACAGAAAAATTGAAAAATCGAGAAATCGGAAAATTCAAAAATTAAGAATTCGGACAATATAAATATGACAATATGTATTAAAAGTTGGAAAAATCGAAAAAGCAAAAAATTTGATAATTCAAAAAATAGAACAATAAATCAATTGAAAACGCAAAAAATCAAAAAATTTGAGAATTCGAAAATTTGAATTTCGAAAAATCGGAACATGGGGAACTAAAAATTCGAAAAATCGAGAATTTGAAAAATTGAGAAATCGAGAAAGAAAAACTAAACAAATTGAAAAACCGAAAAGTCGAAATTCAGAATTTGAAAAAAACAAAAATTCGGAAATCGAAAAATCAAGAGCCAAAACGGGAGAAATTGAGACAATGAGAATTCAAAAAATCTAAACATTTTTAAATCAAAATATTAAAAAAATCGAAATATGAAAACATTTTTCCATCCTCCACTCTGTGACTTTCATTTAAAAAATAAATAAAAAATTTCAAATTGGAAAAATCGAGAAATAGAAAAATTGAAAAATCGAGAAATCGGAAAATTCAAAAATTAAGAATTCGGACAATATAAATATGACAATATGTATGTATTAAAAGTTGGAAAAATCGAAAAACCAAACAATTTGATAATTCGAAAAATAGAACAATAAATAAATTGAAAATTCGAAAAATCAAAAAATTTGAGAATTCGAAACATTGAATTTAGAAAAATCGGAAAATCGAGAATTGAGAATTCGAAAAATCGAGAAGTTGAAAAATTGAGAAATCGATAAAGAAAAACTAAACAAACTGAAAATTCGAAAAGTCGAAATTCAGACTTCGGAAAAACCAAAAATTGGGAAATCGAAAAATCAAGAAACAAAAAGGGGGACATTGAGAAATCGAGACACTGAGAATTCGAAATATCGAAATATTTTTAAATCAAAACATTAAAAAAATCGAAATATGAAAACATTTTTCCATCCTCCACTCTGTGAATTTCATTTAAAAAATAAATAAAAAATTTCAAATTGGAAAAATCGAGAAATAGAAAAATTGAAAAATCGAGAAATCGGAAAATTCAAAAATTAAGAATTCGGACAATATGAATATGACAATATGTATTAAAAGTTGGAAAAATCGAAAAACCAAAAAATTTGATAATTCAAAAAATAGAACAATAAATAAATTGAAAATGCAAAAAATCAAAATATTTGAGAATTCGAAAATTTGAATTTCGAAAAATCGGATCATCGAGAACTGAAAATTCGAAAAATCTAGAATTTGAAAAATTGAGAAATCGAGAAAGAAAAACTAAACAAATTGAAAAACCAAAAATTCGAAATTCAGAATTTGAAAAAAACAAAAATTCAGAAATCGAAAAATCAAGAGCCAAAACGGGAGAAATTGAGACAATGAGAATTCAAAAAATCTAAACATTTTTAAATCAAAATATTAAAAAAATCGAAATATGAAAACATTTTTCCATCCTCCACTCTGTGACTTTCATTTAAAAAATAAATAAAAAATTTCAAATTGGAAAAATCGAGAAATAGAAAAATTGAAAAATCGAGAAATCGGAAAATTCAAAAATTAAGAATTCGGACAATATAAATATGACAATATGTATGTATTAAAAGTTGGAAAAATCGAAAAACCAAACAATTTGATAATTCGAAAAATAGAACAATAAATAAATTGAAAATTCGAAAAATCAAAAAATTTGAGAATTCGAAACATTGAATTTAGAAAAATCGGAAAATCGAGAATTGAGAATTCGAAAAATCGAGAAGTTGAAAAATTGAGAAATCGATAAAGAAAAACTAAACAAACTGAAAATTCGAAAAGTCGAAATTCAGACTTCGGAAAAACCAAAAATTGGGAAATCGAAAAATCAAGAAACAAAAAGGGGGACATTGAGAAATCGAGACACTGAGAATTCGAAATATCGAAATATTTTTAAATCAAAACATTAAAAAAATCGAAATATGAAAACATTTTTCCATCCTCCACTCTGTGAATTTCATTTAAAAAATAAATAAAAAATTTCAAATTGGAAAAATCGAGAAATAGAAAAATTGAAAAATCGAGAAATCGGAAAATTCAAAAATTAAGAATTCGGACAATATGAATATGACAATATGTATTAAAAGTTGGAAAAATCGAAAAACCAAAAAATTTGATAATTCAAAAAATAGAACAATAAATAAATTGAAAATGCAAAAAATCAAAATATTTGAGAATTCGAAAATTTGAATTTCGAAAAATCGGATCATCGAGAACTGAAAATTCGAAAAATCTAGAATTTGAAAAATTGAGAAATCGAGAAAGAAAAACTAAACAAATTGAAAAACCAAAAATTCGAAATTCAGAATTTGAAAAAAACAAAAATTCAGAAATCGAAAAATCAAGAGCCAAAACGGGAGAAATTGAGACAATGAGAATTCAAAAAATCTAAACATTTTTAAATCAAAATATTAAAAAAATCGAAATATGAAAACATTTTTCCATCCTCCACTCTGTGACTTTCATTTAAAAAATAAATAAAAAATTTCAAATTGGAAAAATCGAGAAATAGAAAAATTGAAAAATCGAGAAATCGGAAAATTCAAAAATTAAGAATTCGGACAATATAAATATGACAATATGTATGTATTAAAAGTTGGAAAAATCGAAAAACCAAACAATTTGATAATTCGAAAAATAGAACAATAAATAAATTGAAAATTCGAAAAATCAAAAAATTTGAGAATTCGAAACATTGAATTTAGAAAAATCGGAAAATCGAGAATTGAGAATTCGAAAAATCAAGAAGTTGAAAAATTGAGAAATCGATAAAGAAAAACTAAACAAACTGAAAATTCGAAAAGTCGAAATTCAGACTTCGGAAAAACCAAAAATTGGGAAATCGAAAAATCAAGAAACAAAAAGGGGGACATTGAGAAATCGAGACACTGAGAATTCGAAATATCGAAATATTTTTAAATCAAAACATTAAAAAAATCGAAATATGAAAACATTTTTCCATCCTCCACTCTGTAACTTTCATTTAAAAAAATAAATAAATAAAAAATTTCAAATTGGAAAAATCAAAAATTGAGAATTGGAAAATCGATAATACGAAAAAACGGAAAATTGAAAAATCGAAAACTTGAGAAATTGAAAAGTCGAAAAACCGACAAATTGAAAATTCGAATTTAAAAATATAAAAACTAAAAATTCGACAAGTCACTTAATTCAGGAACTGAAACTTGAAACAACGAAAAATCGAAACTCGAAAAACTGAAAAATTGAAAAATTGAAAAATCGAGAAATAGAAAAATAATATTTCAAATTTGAAAATCCGCCATCGACAAACCAAAAAATCGAGAAATCGAGAAATCAAAAAATTGAAAAATCGAGGAAGCGAAAAATTCAAAAGTCAAAAAATCGAGAAATCGTAGAATTGAAAGGTCGAGAAATTCAGAGATCGGAAAATCGAGAAATCAAAATTAAAAATGTCGGGAAATTGAAAAAACACAAAACTGAAATTTTGAAAACTTTGGGAAATCTAAAATCAAAAAAACGAGAAATCAAGAAATTGAAAAATTGAAAATCGAGTAATTCGAAAATCTAAAAATTGAAAAATTGAGAAATTTTCAAAAATTGGAAAACTGTTCAATCTAGAAGCAGAAAAATCAGGAAAATCAGAAATTCAAAAATAAGAATATTTCAAATTCTAAAAACGACCATCGAGAAATAAAAAAATCGAGAAATCGAAAAATCAAAAATTCGAGAAATCAAAAATAAAAAAATACATAGGGAAATTGAGAAATCGAGAAATCGAAAATTCGAAAAATCGGAAAGTGGAAAAATTAAAGAATTGAAAATTGAAAAATCGAGAATTCGAAAATTCGGAAATCCGAGAAATCGAAAACCAAAAAATGCAGAAATGAGATATTGGGAAATCGAGAAATTAAGAAAACGAGAATTCGAAAAATCCAAATTCGATAACTCGAACAATCAAAAAACGAAAAATCGAGAAGTTGAAAAATTGAGAAATCAAGAAATCTAGAAATTGGAGAAGTCGAAAAATTCAGAATTCGAAAAATCGAAAAAGTGAGAATTTTTATGGGTCGAAAATCAAAAAGTCGAAAAATAGAGAATCAAAAGATAGAGAAATTTAGAAATTGGAAAATCAAGAAATCGGAAATATAAAAATCAAAATCAGAAAAATCGAAAAATACAAAACTTGAAAAATCGAAAATCGAGGTATCCAAAAATCGAGAACCAAAAAATGGGGAAACTGGGAAATTGAGAAATAGAAAATTGAGAATTCGAAAAACTGAAAATCGAGAATCAAAATATGAGAAATCGGGAATATAATAGAATAGTTTATTTTTCATCCATATTGAAAAAGAAATGTGAAATCGAAAATTCTAAAAAAACAAAAATCTAGAAGCTGAAAATTCGAAGTCGTCAAATTCAGAAATCGAAACTCGAAACATCGAGAAATAGAAAATTTGAAAAGTCGAGGAATCGACAACTGAAAAATCTAAAAACTGGAAAATCGAAAAGTGAAATTTACAAACAGAAAAATCGGGAAAACCAAAAATCAAAAAATAAGAATATTTCAAATTCGAAAAACGACTATCGACAAATCAAAAAATCGAAAACCGAAAAACTGAAAAATCGGAAAAACTTAAAACCGGAAATTCGAAGTCACTAAATTCAGAAATTGAAACTCGAAATATTGAAAAATCTAGAAATAGAAAAATTGAAAAATCGAAAATATGAAATATTTTAAATTCGAAAATCGACCATCGACAAATCAAAAATCAAGAATTCGAAAGATCGAAAATCGAAAAATTGAAAAACTAAGAAACCGAAAAATTCAAAAGTCAAAAAATCGGGAAATCGAAAATAAAAAGATATGGGGAAGTTGAGAAACCGAGAAACTGAGAATTCGAAAAATCGGAAAATGGAAAACTCCAAGAATTGAAAAATCGATAAAAAACGAAAAATTGAGAATTCGAAAAATATAAAAATTAAAACATCAAAAATTCTGAAAACTGAAAATTCGAAAATCGGGAATCACAAAATGGAGAAATAATCGAAAATACAAAAATCAAAAACAGAAAAATCGAAACACTGAAAATACAAAATTAAGACCTTGAAAAATCGAAAATCGAGGTATCGAAAAATCGAAAATCAAAAAATGGGGAAACTGAGAATTCGACAAATCAAAGAATTGAGAAATCGACGAAAAAACCAAACATTGAGAATTCGAAAAATATAATAATCAAAACATCGAAAATTCCAAAGACCAAAAATCGAGTACCGAAAAATTGAGAAATGGAAAATCGAAAAATCGAAACACCGAAAAAATGAAAAATCAAGAATCCAAAAAATGAAAAATCAAGAATACGAAAAATCGAAAGACTGCAAAAACGAAATTCGAAAAATTCAAAAGTCAAAAAGTCGAGAAATCGAAGAAACGAAAGCTCGAGAAATTCAGAAATCAGGAAATCAAAAATGCAGAAATCGGAAAATCGAGAAATCAGAAATGAAAATGTAGAGAAATTGAAAAAACAGAAAACTGAAATTTCTAAAAATTTAGAGAAATTGAAAATCCGAAAGACGAGAAACCAAGAAATCGATAAATTCGAAAATCTAAAAATTGACAAATCGAGAATTCGTAAAACTGAAATTTCCAAAAATCGAGAAATCAAAAATTCGAAAAATTGAAAAATCGGATAATTGAAGAAAGCGAAAAATTTTAGAATTGAGAAATTTAAAAAACGAAAAATTATAAAATCGAAAAATTGACGAATCGATAAATTCAAAAATTGAAAATAAAAAGAGACAATCGAGAAAACGAAGAAAAAAGAATATTTCAAAATCGAGAAATCGAAAAATTGAAAAATCGAAAAGTCCAAAAATCAAAACAAGGAAAAATCGAAAAATTCAAAGCTCAAAAAATCGAAAAATTGAAAAATCGCAAGTTCGAGAAATTGAGAAATCGGAAAATCGACAAATTTAAAAATCGAAAACTCGAGAAAATGAAAAGTCAAAAGTCAAACAACCGACAAATCGAAAATTCGAATTCAAAAATCTAAAAACTGAAAATTCGAAAAGGTCGCTAAATTCAGAAAAATTGAAAAATTCCAAAATCTTAGAATCGAAAGCTCCAAAAATTCAGAATTCAGAAAATCTAAAAATTAAAAAATCGAGAAATTGAGAAATCACAAACCGAAAAGTCGAGAAACCGACAAATCGTGGGAGAAAATGGAAAAATCGAGGAATTCAGAAATCGAAAAGCCGAAAAATTAAAAAATCGAAAAATCCAATAATAATTGAAGGAACGAACAATTTTAAAATCGAAAAATTGAAAAAACAAAAATTGTAAAATTGAAAAAATTAAAATCGAGTAAAATATGAAAAAATTTTCAATGGACAAAACTGTAAAATTAAAAAATTGCAAAAATTGCGAATTGAAACACTGAAAAATTGAACCGAAAAAATGATAAAACATGACAAAAAGAAGACGAAAGAAAAAAGTCACCCAAAATACAAAAATACAATGTCCAAAAACAAAACACAAAGAATCGACAAAAAAAATGAAATAAGACACAAAAAACATCTAGGGTTCTATACAAAAAATCCCGCCCCTCCCTCAAATCCACTTCTGCGCCTCCAACTTCCCCAGCTTAACCATCATCTCCGTATTCGTCGCCAGAATACTCTTAACCGACTGCAGAAACAAATTCTTCTGAAAAAACGCCGCCATCGGCAACCCGCTAACCGCAAAAACGTGCACATTCCCATCGACATCCCCAATCAACAAACACCGCCCGCCCGCCGTAAACCTGCAAACCGTATTCCTCGAATTCGTGGGCGACTTCGTCTGACTCTGCGGCGAGTAAACCTTCCTCTGAAAATCCCACAAAAAAACATCCATCCCGCGAAGACTCACCAAAATCGTCGAGTGCGACGGACTCCACTCCACGTCCAGCACCGGCTCCATGCAGTACCGCGACGTAATCAGCGGCTCGTCGATGCCCTCGATCCACACGCATTCTTGGAAGTCGTCGCCGCAAGTAGCGAACAATTTGTCTATGAAAGGGGAGAACTTGATGGCGTGGATGGCACCCTCGTGGGCTTTGAACATCCCCTTGTGTTGCGTGCAGTAGTTGGGGGTGCATTTGTGGATGACTCCTTCGGTGGTGGCGACGAAGTAAAGCAAGGGGTCGCCGGCGTGGAGGCACAGTCGGACGACGGAAGCGTGTCTGGAGGAGGACACCTGGTTGCCTTCGAACAACCTCAACGCTTTCAACCCCTTTAGTTTGCCTTCGACTTTTTCGACTCTCATGATTTGCACGAACTCCATCTGCATGTCGTAGAAGTGGTATTTGCAAATGCGGCCGTCGCCGAAGCACGCTAGGAAGTACTCGTGGCCGTCTTGCTCGAACCATAACACGTCCCAAACGGGTTCGAATGACGTCACGCAGTCGTCTCCAAGGAGCACCAGGTCGCGCTTACTAACGTCAATAACTCGTAAGTTTCCGTTGTAGAAACCAACCGCTAGATAATTCGGGTTTTTGAGGGAGAACGCCAACGAGGTGACTGAGTGTTTAAAATAGTACTCGCGTTCAGGCTGTTTTGGATTTTTGATATTCCAAATCATGACAATGCCGGTGCTTTTGCGGTCAATGAAATAATATTTACCGTAACCCACGGCGATGATGTCCTCACTCAGACTGTTGAACGAAATTCCAGTGACGCATCTGCTTCTCGTGTCGTCGTTACAAAAAGTCCACAGGAGTTCTAGCTTGTAGTTATACTTAATAACCGGGTCCGAATCCCGCTCCAAAATTCCTTTAAAATGTTTCTGCTCTTCGTTGTAGCAATTATTGGCCAAAAGTCGCTCTATGACGAGGGCCGCGTTAAAAAAATTTTCGTTAACTGTGAGCGCTTCTAGCTCTTTTTCTTGCTGCGTTTTTCGTAGTTGTTCCAGCGAGACTTCCTCTTTTAACTGGTGGTCGTTTTCAACCACTTCTTCGTCTAGTGTTACGTCGGACTCATACGCGTATTCGTCTTGCGTTTCTTCAAATTCTTTTTGTTTGTAGGTGTCGTACATTTCCCAGTTTGAGGCGAACGTTGAATTGTCGCTGAATTCATAATGAATGGGTTGAGTGTGTCTGGTTTTTAGTAAAACGGGGATTGTTTGGACCCCGATGCTGCTTACTTTACGGTTGCGCCCTTTACCTGTGGTTAAGTAATCGTAGAGTTGGTTGTCCACCTGGGAGGCTTCGCCCTCCGGGGTGTCCCTCGGGACGATACAACTGGGTAAATCAAGCAGGAAAATTGTGTCGGTTTCATTTAGGATGAGGGTGATGTGCTTGGGGACTTTTCTAATCATTTTCGAACAACAATACAAAGTTTGATCAATATTAGTAGCTTACCTAGTGGGTTTTGACACCAACTGTACACGTTTTAAAGTACAACACTTACCAAATCGCGTTCATTTTCACTTTTTTATTCGAAATTCGGCAAATTTTGAATGTGTTTAGGTTATGTTTTTGGTATTTTTTGTGGCAATGTTGGTGTTATTGACGCATCGAGTGCTGACATAACCTTAAATTGCTTTGAAATAACAGTAAAATATGAAATTGGAAACGTACAAGGCTTACAAAATCACATTTTATAGCACTAGTTTGCATTTTTTGTTAAAAATTCGCTGAATTTCGAATCGCGTTTAGGTTATGTTTTTATAATTTTTTGTGGTAACGTTGGTGTTACTGAGAAATCGAAAAATTGAGAATTCGAAAAATATAAATGTCAAAACATCGAAAATTTGGACAATTGAAAATCGAAAGTCGCACATTTGAGAAATTGAAAATCGAATAATTGAAATACCGAAAAAATAAAAAATCGAAAAGCTGAAAAAATGAGAACTTAAAAAATGGATAAAAATCTAAAAATTGAGAATTCAAAAACTATAAAAATCAAAACTCGAAAATTCGGAAAATTGAAAATCAGGAATCGAAAAATTGAGAAATTGAAAAGCCAAAAATTGAAACACCGAAAAAATGAAAAATCGAGAATTCGAAAATTCGAAAATCATGAAATCAAGAATCAAAAGACGGATATATGAGAAATTGGGAAATCGAGAAATTAAGAAAACGAGAATTCGAAAAAGTGAACAATCAAAAAAAGGAAAATTGGGAATTCGAAAAATTGAGAAATCGAAACACCGAAAAATACAAAATTGAGAACTTGAAAAGTCGAAAATCAAAAAATGAAAAAATTGAGAAATCGAGAAATTGAGAGTTTAAAAACTCGAAGAATTGAAAAATCGATTGAAAACGAAAAAGTGAGAATTCGAAAAATATAAAAATCAAAACACCGAAAATTCGAAAAACCGAAAATCCAGAATTGAAAAAATGAGAAATTGACAATAGAAAAATTGAAAAACTGAAAATTCGAAAAATCGAGAAATCAAAAATTAAAAAAATGTGGGGAAATTGCGAAATTGAGAAATGGAAAATTCGAAAATCGAGAAATTGAGAATCAAAAAATGGAGAAATGAGAAAATTGGAAATCGAGAAATTGAGAAAACGAGAATTAGAAAAATCGAAGAATCAAAAAACGAAAAATTGAGAATTCGAAAAATCAAAAAAATTCAGAATTCGAAACATTGAATTTCGAAAAAATGGGAACATCGAGAACTGAGAATTCGAAAAATCGAAATTCAAAAAGTCGAGAAGTTAAGAATTTGAGAAATTGAGAACTTGGGAGATCTAGAAATTGGAAATTGAAAAGTCGAAAAATTCCGAATTCGAAAAATCGAAAAACTGAGAAGTCTAAAAGTCGAAAATCGAGAATCAAAAGATGGAGAAATTAGGAAGTTGGAAAATCGAGAAATCGAAAATACAGAATTCGAAAAATCGAAAAATTGAGAAATCGAAAATACAAAAATCAAAAACCGACAAATCGAAACACCGAAAAATACAAAATTGAGAACTTGAAAAATCGGAAATCGAGAAATCGAAAAGACGAAAATCGAGAATTCGAGAAATCGAACAATAAAAAAATTGAAAAATTGAAAACACAAAAATTAAAAACAGACAGATCGAAATACGGAAAAATACAAAAATGAGAACTTGAAAAATCGAAAATCAAAAATCAAAAAATGAGGAAATTGAGAAATCGAGAATTCGAAAAATCGAAGAATTGAAAAATCGACAAAAAAACAAAAATTGAGAAATCTAAAAAGCGAGAATCAAAAGATGGAGAAATTAAAAAGTTGGAAAAACAAAAAATCGAGAAATCGAAAATCGAGACATTCAGAAAACAAGAATACGAAAAATCGAACAATCAAAAAAGCGAAAAATTGAGAAATTGAAAATAATGAAATTGAAACACCGGAAAAGTGAAAAACCGAGAATTCAAAATTCGAAAACTGAAAATACAAAAATCGGGAAATCGAGAAACAGAAAATGGAGAATTGTCAAATTGGGAAATCGAGAAATTGAGAATTCGGAAAATCTAAATTCTAAAAGTCGAAATTCGAAACATCGGAAAATCAAAAAATGGAGAAAAATGAAAAAACGGGAATCTGAGAAAATGAGAAAACGGGAATTCGAAAAATTGAACAATCAAAAAGGCCAAAAATTAAGAATTCGAAAGATCGAGAAATTGAGAAGTTCAGAATTCGAAAAATCGAGAAATCGAAAATCCTAGAAATTCAAAAATCTAAAAACTCCAAACACTGGAAAATCGAGAAATCGAAAAATATTAACATTTCAAATTCGAAAATCGACCATCAACAAATCAAAAAATCGAAAAGTCGAGAAATCGAAAATTAAAAAATTGAAAAACGAAATTGAGAATTCGAAAAATCGGAAAATGAAGAATCTAGAAAGAGAAAAATTGGGAAAATCAGAAATCGAAAAACCGTAAACCTGAAATTTCGCAAATCGAAATATTGAAAAATCGAGTACCTGAAAACACGAAAAATTAAAAAATCGAAAAATTAACGAATCGATAAATTCAAAACTGGTGAACGAAATTCCAGTGACTCATCTGCTTCTCGTGTCGTCGTTACAAAAAGTCCACAGGAGTTCCAGCTTGTAGTTATACTTAATAACCGGGTCGGAATCCCGCTCCAAAATTCCTTTAAAATGTTTCTGCTCTTCGTTGTAGCAATTATTGGCCAAAAGTCTCTCTATGACGAGGGCCGCGTTAAAAAAATTTTCGTTAACTGTGAGCGCTTCTAGCTCTTTTTTTTGCTGCGTTTTTCGTAGTTGTTCCAGCGAGACTTCGTCTTTTAACTGGTGGTCGTTTTCAACCACTTCTTCGTCTAGTGTTACGTCCGACTCGTACGCGTATTCGTCTTGCGTTTCTTCCAGTTCTTTTTGTTTGTAGGTGTCGTACATTTCCCAGTTTGAGGCGAACGTCGAATTGTCGCTGAATTCATAGTGGATGGGTTGGGTGTGTCTGGTTTTTAGTAAAACGGGGATTGTTTGGACTCCAATGCTGCTTACTTTACGGTTGCGCCCCTTACCTGTGGTCAAGTAATCGTACAATTGGTTGTCTGCTTGGGAGGCTTCGCCCTCAGGGGTGTCCCTCGGGACAATGCAACTGGGTAAATCAAGCAGGAAAATTGTGTCGGTTTCATTTAGGATGAGGGTGATGTGCTTGGGGACTTTTCTAATCATTTTCGAACAACGATACAAAGTTTGATCAATATTAGTAACAAGTGCTTACCTGGTGGGTTTTGACACTAATTGTAAACATTTAAAAGTATAACACTCACGAAATTACGTTCATTTGCACTTTTTTGTTCGAAATTCGGCAAATTTTGAATGTGTTTAGGTTATGTTTTTGGTATTTTTTGTGGCAATGTTGGTGTTATTGACGGATCGAGTGGTGACATAACCTTAAATTGCAGTGAAATAGTAGAGGTCCGTGAATAATAGTGAAATATGAAATTGGAAACGCACAAGGCTTACAAAATCACATTTTATAACACTAGTTTGCATTTTTTGTTAAAAATTCGCTGAATTTCGAATCGCGTTTAGGTTATGTTTTTGTAATTTTTTGTACCAACGTTGGTATTACCGAGAAATCTCATATTAAAAAATCCAGAATTCGAAAATTGAGAATCACAAACGGAGAGATCGAAGAATCGAAAGCTCGAGAAACCAAGAAATCGACAAATTGAAAATCGGGAAATGCGATAATCTAAAAACTGAAAATTTCAAAAGTCGCTAAATATAGAAATTGAAACTCGAAACATTGAAAAATCGAGAAATAAGAATATTTCAAATTCGAAAATCGACCATTGACAAACCAAAAAAAGTTTTGAAATCCAAAAATCACCGAAACACCGAAAAATACAAAATTGAGAACTTGAAAAATCGAAAGTCGAAAAATGGGGAAATTGAGAAATCGAGAAATTGAGACTTCGAAAAATCGTTTGAAAACGAAAAAGTGAGAATTCGAAAAATATCACAATTAAAACAATGAAAATTCGGGAAACCAAAAATCGAGAATCAAAAAATCGAGAAATTGACAAATGAAAAATCGAAACAAGGAAAAAATGAAAAATCGAGAATACGAAAAATCGAAAAAGTGAAAATTTGAAAAATCTAGAAACAAAAATTCGAAAAATCGAAAAAGTGAAAATTTGAAAAATCGAGAAACAAAAATTCGAGAAATCGAAAATAAAAAATATGGGGAAATTGAGAAATTGATAATTCGAAAAATCGGAAAACGGAAAATTCGATAAAAAATGAAAAATTGAGAATTCGAAAAATATTAAAATAAAAAAATCAAAAATTCGGAATTTTGAAAATCGATAATCGAAAAATTGAGAAATTGAAAATCGAAAAATTAAAATCGAGAATTCGAAAATTCAGAAGTCGAGAAACAAAAAAATGGAGAAATGAGAAAATGGGAAATCGCGAAATTGAGAAAAGGAGAATTAGAAAAATCAAAGTTCGAAAAATCGAAAACCAAAAAACGAACAATAGAGAATTCGAAAAATCAAAAAATTTCAGGATTTGAAATATTGAATTTCTAAAAATCGGAACATCGAGAATTGAGAATTCGAAAAATCGAAATTCAAAAAATCGAGAAGTTAAAAATTTGAGAAAATGAGAACTTCGGAAATCTAGAAATTGGAAATTGAAAAGTCGAAAAATCGAAAAACTGAATTCTAAACGTCGAAAATTGAGAAATCGAAAATCGAGAATTTGAGAAATCGAAAATCGAGAATTGGGGAAATCGAAAATTTAGAATTCGAAAAATCGAACAATCGAGAAATTGAGAAATCGAAAATACAAAAATCGAAAATCGAGATATCGAAAAATCGAGAATTAAAAAATGGGGAAATTGAGAATTCGAAAAATCGAA